GGTTGTTCAGCCTGGAGAAGAGGAGGCTGCGGGGAGACCTCATTGCGGCCTTTCAGTACTGAAAGGGGGCCTACAGGAAAGATGGGGACAATCTTTTTAGTAGGCCTGTTGCGATAGGACAAGGGTAATGGTTTTAAACTAAAAGAGGGTAGATTTAGACTGGATATAAGGAAGAAATTTTTTACAATGAGGGTGGTGAAACACTGGAACAGGTTGCCCAGAGCAGCTGTGGATGTCCCACCCGTGGAAGTATTCAGGGTCAGGTTGGACAGGGCTCTGAGCAACCTGATCTAGTGGGAGATGTCCCTGCTCATTTGGGGGGGGGAGGGGGCCCGAGGTTGGACTAGATGACCTTTCAAGGTCCCTTCCAACCCAAACCATTCTATGATTCTATGAACAGGCTCCTGGTTTATTAAGGGAGGGACCATACTTTCCCATAGGCTTGTCCGGGGCTTAGCTGGACTGTGGACGTGGATGGATCCCACCCTGGTCCTTGTACTTACACAAATACCTAGTACTGAAGAACTACAGGTAGTGCCAAGCATAGTGCTATTGTGAAAAGCAGCACACACCTGAAAGAAAAAGAAATACAGGAGCCTGAACTCTCCTGCATGCAAACCAGCAGGCAAGGGTGCAGAGGCAGGCAGGCAGGCTGTTCTTCTGACTCCCAGTGCAAATGACCAGGTGAAAGCAAAAGCAACTTGTGAAGCAGCTCCAGCTTTTTCCTCCATTCCCTGACTAGCTGCATGGAGCGTGGGCTGGCTTGTGCAGGCAGCCTGGGGAGAGCTCTGCCCCGACACCTACGCGGGACGACCCAGCAGTTCTCAGTGGGCTTGGCTGGGCCTCAGCCATGATTGTCATTTCCGATTTGGCTGTTAGAATAAAGCTTTATCCTCTACAGACTTGTCATTGTGGCCTTCGCCTGAATCAGACATAATTTACAGAAGGCCATTTGGGTCTCTCAGAGGGGACAGAGCCAAGGCCACTCTCCACTTTCAGCTCCTGCGGGGGGTGGCCACGTATGTCTGTACAAGCTCATTCCAGGCGATGGCTCAGACGATTCCCTCTCAAATGAAAATGTCTGGCTGTTTTTAACCACGTGTGCAAAACTAAGGTCCAATAGGGATAAATAAGTTTATCTGAAACACAGATAAGGAGCCCTAGGGCTCCATGCTCAGCTGTCCCACTGGAGGTAGAAGGACTTACCACTCCAGTGAGGAACGTACCTGAGCAGAGGACTTGAGCTAAAGCCCAGCCCTGGAGTTGGGCAATCAGTCTCCCTCCCTGAAGGTTCAGAGACTAACACGGGGTGCCTGTCTAGCAGCAGTCCCCTCCTCCATTAGTGTTGGCCCTCCACGGCAGTCGGGGAGTTAATTCCAGGGGTATCCCTACATTCTTCAGCTGCTCAGATGGCCATGAGCTTCTTGTCCTTCTTGCCAGTCAGCTGATCAACATAATTTATTCTGTGACTTACCAAATCAGCTGTTTTGCAGCAGCTACAGCTGGAGCTGCTAATACCATCCCCATCACCCTCTTCCTAAGCCTCAAGTGCATGCTGCAGCTGAGTGCTGTGGCCATCACAGTTTACTTAATAACTTTTGTATCTACCACATCTCTGTAAAACTTTGAGATTTTTTTTACTCTCCCAGTACCCATGAGAGAGAGGGGACAATGCTGCCTTTCTCCTGTTACATATGGAGAGGTCGTGCCTAGAGGTATGAAGTAATTTGGTTGAGGACACATAGCTAATTTGCAGGAGAACTGGAAATGGAGCCTTCAGGTTCAGAGTGCCCTGGCCGAAACCAGGACACTACCCTTACTGGGGTGCAGCATTTATTTGTGTGTGCTTGCTGCAGTAGACATTGACTGCCCTGTAGGTTCTGACTGTGCTGCCAAGGGTTTAAAAAGGGTACAAGTAAATAGGGCTCTCTTTAAAAATTGCCACTGAACTGCCATATTGTCTCAAACGATTTGAGAAGCTCCAGACTGATGTGAGGGGATGTTTCCCTGATGTCTCTTCCACATGTGCGCTTTCAGAAATTAAATCTGTGCATTGGGAAGACCTACCTGGAACAGAGTGTTTGGTCCCTGCAGCCTGGCAGGACTCAGAGGAGCAACAGGACTGAGGCTGCTCCAGAAATGAATGCTAGACAGCAGCGGGCTTGGGGTCAGCAATAATCCATTTGGGGTCTGCAAGACAAAAAAAGCCCATGATCATGGCTCAGGAGATACAGCCCCGTACGGTAGTTACAACCCCTAAAGTCTTACACTTCACCTACTGGCTCTTTTTCCCAGTGAATTCAGACATACAGCATGCCAAGAATACTGGCCAGCAGCAACTGCCCATCCAGCCCTGCATCCTGTTTCCGCAGCGGTCAATACTGGATACCTGCACATTTAAAACTCCTTCATACACAAATTGATTTCATTTCTATTGCGATTTGCTTAAGCAGAAGCACAGTTATTGTTTATTTGAACAACACTCATGCAACTATATAAAATACTATGCATGCCTGAATGTCTGTAAACACAGCCTAGTCTCCTCCAGAATATTTTTTTTTCCTTTTGAAGGGCAGCAATTGCTTTAACTGACTGCAACTTTTGAAGCATTAATGCAATTGTGTGTCAACCCAAAAGAGCCACTGCTGGCCTTTGACGTTTACTTCTCTGATGGTAGCTGTTCAAAATGGAAGAAGATTCAAGAAACTGGCAATGCACAGGCTGATGCAGCAAGAGGCAGGTGTGTGGGTTGGGTGCCCAGAGAGATGGCGGGGAGCACAGTTAATTGTTTGAAAAGAACCAAAATGGCAAGAATTCAAGGCTTTTCCCAACTCGGAGCTGGCTCTTTCCAGTGCCATGGTGCACAAGGATTGCTCAGAATGCTCTCAGCACTTCTAAAGCACAATTGGAGGGTAGGTAGAGTTAAAGCACATGCAAATCTCCATTCAAAGGAAGAATCACATGAATTACTCTGTATCCAGAGTAACTTTTATCTTTCCAAAAAAGAACATGAAAGTGATGTGACAGTTTTGAACAGTCTTTGGCATTATGAGTTAATCTCACAGTAATCTTCATGCCAATTATCAAAATCAGGCCTATTTAGCAAAGCACTTAATGGAATTTGAGTGCACACTTAGCAAGTAAGTACGTGTTTCACTGTGTAGGACAAGTGCCTCAGTGCTCTGCTGAACTGGGGCATCAGTTTGTCCAGAGTTTAAAATATGTAAAGAGAAGACAGAAGGTAAGGAGTATCTCCCACTAGTAACCAGCACATCACACATTCTGGTACCTGCTAGCTTCCCACCAGGCCAGAAATATAAACTCCCGCATATGACTACTGCAACCAGGGGTCTTGCTTAACAACTATTTACACCACGGGCTGTCACATCCCGTTGCCAGGACTCTGCGGTGAGCAGGCTCGGAAAGGCAGGTACCACAGGTCATGTGGATTTTTCGAATGACGGACATATTATTTGCAAAGCAGTGCCTGAGGGATCAGCTGTGGTGTTTGAGGCTCTGTGCAAACGCACAGGAATACAGACCTGCTCTGACGTGCTTGCAGTGGAGTTCACAACAGGGTCAAACAATTAGTTTAACGCCAGCAGAAGAGATGGGAGAGACAAGGAGCGGCAAACATTAATGTCCTCCCAGTGATTCTGTCCCAAGGTGTCTGAAAGGCAGTTTAACACAAAGAGCTTGGCTGCTCTTCAAGGGGACAATTTCTCTAAGGAATCTCAAAAGAAGCAGGGTTCATGGAGAAGTGCGAAGGGAAAGGACACTGCCATCTCCCTTGTGCTGAGGTAGATCAGAAACACTGAACCCCGTGGAAGAAACCAGAGTTATGTCCCAAGGAGTAATAAACATGTGGTATTGCTAGGACAGCAAAAGGTGTTCATGCAGTGAAACAGCAGGTATGGCGGTCACAGAAGTACCAATGAAGTCAGCGTTTGGATATATTTGGATGACAACAAAAGGGGCAAAGAGTGGGTGGAGGCCTGGCAAGGAGAAAACGTCTGTCTTGATCTCATCAAGTGACAGCTCTTGTCAAGATATCTGAGAAAAAATACTTGACAAGCAGGCACTTGTGAATGGCTCCTTCACAAACACCCTCTTCCCAGGACCACGGTGCTTTCACAGGGCAGGAAAACACCAATACCAGGGAGAGCACCTTTCCTGTGCCGCATTAGAAGCTGATGCTCCACAGGCAAGCGGCTGTTGACGGGGATTTAGGAGACTGACAAAGAACACATGAATTAGGTCAGGATAAATACTCAGAGATCTACTTACAGAAGAGCCTACTAACCTTAAAACCAAAGATGTAAGCAGCAAGACCCAACAACATTCAGCTAAGGACACAGTATTGTGCCAACTGTACTGAGAGCTCCAATGAGCTATACCTCGGTTCTCTATTTTTTTCTCTAAGAAGTTGCAGTTATCCAGAACTGAAAATGCAGTTCTTGAGAGGGTCTTTTGAAAATAATGAAGAAAACTTGGAGGTCTTTATTCCTACCTAGATATGGCCAGAGCAAGTCTTCAGAGAGAGAGGAGATTTGAAACTGAGCTGTCCTCCATTCATCTCTGGAAGCATGTTAACATGCCTAACAAGAGCGCTAAGCAAAAGCCCATAACCTCCGATGATCAGAGCACTAATTGCAAGTTCTGCCAGAGCCAAGAGCCAGCCAAAGCAAGCCTCCAAATCTGTTAATATTTAATGCAAAAAGAGCACAGGGCCTCCCAGGCTTGTTCTCAGTATCGCCATCAGCCAAGCATCAAAACTACCAGAGGAAATGTGAGTGTAAACACCACCACAGCACAGGCTATCCTTAAATTACACGTGGAAACTGATGTGTCACTTCACTTTCTGCCCTCATGCAGCTGTATGTCTGGTATTAAATGTGGAACCCAGTGGGAAGTTCCTACTTAAAAAAAAGGTCATTATAATCTAAGCATAGGAACAGTTTAAATAGAAATAATTCATTGCACAGAGAGGATTATGTTAAGCAACGATGCTTATGGCTCCTGACTTCTCTGACAAGGAATGTGTGTAAGTACAAGCTTTCTTGTCACTTCTAGCTGTCAGATAACAGACAAGTGCTGTCACACGTACATTGCTTCCCAGGTCATTAGGCACGTGCTGGAGCCTGGATGGTGTATGTGGATACAATACAGACCACACACGCACTGGCTGCAGGCACGCTACTTTGTCCATAAGGAAACGGCGTGTTGTAAATGTTACAAATGCTAAAGTAGAGGCCTGAAGAAAAAGCGTGAGTCAAAATTATATATCCACATGGCCAAGGGAGAGCCAACAAAAATAACAAGCATAAGTAATCTGTAAAAGAAGTAAGTGCTGAACAAAATCTAAGTATCTCTCTTTGAAGCTACCCAAATGGAAAGCTGGCATCTCTCTACCAAACTATGGTACTGTATGCACTGGGATCTTCAAACCCATTCTTCTGTTCTGAAATTGGTTGTGCGTATCACGTGCGCTTTCACAGGCCTCCACCCGAGGGTATCCCTCGTGACCGGCAGGTACAAAGGAAAGCCATCTGAAATACCCGCTCAGGCAGCAGGACCTTCTCTCAACCTACGTCACTCCTGGAGCAGGAACTGGCATCTGACATCCTGTTCTGCACCTGCCCCATGGCAGCAGGTGTCTACCACTGGGATCTGATAAATCAGAGATCATTTGAGATAGGATGCAAGCTCTTCCTAGGATAATGGGATGAACTGCAAATCTCCAGCCTAAATTATAGCTTTAGTTATTTTGCATTGTAGTATTACAGTCGTCTGAACACAGTTGTTCTGTAGTTTTTATTTTATATTCACTAGGTCAAGCATTTACGATGCAGGGTGCTTCTTACCCACACTAGAAATAGAAGGCTAAAAAAGAGCAAAAAAGCTACATTACTGTATAGGCAAAAGTTTAAATAAATGGACCCAGGAACTACCCTACACGGGTGCCATCTGCCTTTTCTGTGATAGGGTAACCTGTAAAAAGAGGTTTGTAATGGCATTAAGTTGGATAACAGTCATCACAGCCTTAGCAAGCCATCCTGCTAAAGGAGGGTCACAATCATCTGCCTAATTCCCTTCTACGTCTTTCAGGGGCAGGAAGTACACCAGTTTATAGATGAATGAGAAAATTAAATGTTCAAAGAAATAATTCCAAAATGAGGAAAGAAATCTCTGTTCCTACTGAGTTTTGTGGCAGCCGCAGATTAAAGCGAGCTTGTAATAACTCATGCTGTCATTGTGTCTGGTTGGCATCTGATATGATTTATTTGTCAGATTTGCTCCCTACGAGCAAAATACTGTGGTTATACCACAGTTGGAGGTTATAAGAGTCTGTCAATGCACCTCAGTTTTGGTTTGCCACACTTCTGTTCTTCCTGCCAAACATAACTTCACTTAAAGGCTTTACGATGTCAAAAATGACAGATAACGGCCCACAAAATCCTCTTTCTTTGCGACACAACTTTCGTATCTCGGTGGCTCATAGGTGTGCCTGCACTGCAATGGCTTTGCACAAACTTGCTCTGCAGCCAGCCGAAAAGCTCAGTAAGAGCAAGCGCGGTGCTGGCCGAGAGCACTGGCCGACACGCTCACCTCTGCCAGGCCTTCGTGCCGTGCAGGCACACGATGCTGCCCGCCGCCAGCTCAAAGACCTCTGACACCTGGCTGCACTGCAGGCATCATCCGTGCAAAACCTCTTCGAACAGAGAGGAGGTAAGGGCCTTCTGGATACAGTGTGACCCCCCCCTAGACAGCCTGAAGTAAATAAGAGCTTGTAACACACGCCTTTGTATTTTTTTATTTACTGTTCAGTTTATTTCATTGAATGCTAGTATTTACATCGACTTTTATTTCAGGGGAGGGATGTTATGGGGTGTTCCCCATTGGGATAATTCTACTCTTGGATTTTTTTTTGTCTAATTTTGCAGCGGTCGCGTAAGACAAAACTCACTGATGAACTCACCAGGTCATTATCTACGTGATTTTCCTCTTCTCTGAACTGCTAGCTTTTTTGCTAGACCTGCTTGAAAATGAGAACTCGCCATTGACATTACTAAAAATATGTGATTAAAAAGAATGAAGTAACCTATCTTATTCAGTAGGTCTGTGCTGAAAGGAAGCTCTGGCAAGTACACTGTGGATCTATAAAACTTTGGAAATCGAAACTGCCTTAAGAGCCTTGTCTTAGAAGCCACTTCTTTTGCTCCATATTCAAAAACTACTGAAAGGTCACACCGTTTGAATGGCTACATCTAGTAGAGAAATCTAACCAAGCATCCCACAATGCATATGCTCAAGTCGTGACCTACAAAACCCCTGTGTTTTTCTTGTTGGCTTTTTCCTGCTTGTTTTTAGACCTGGAGGCTGGTTTAAACCGATAAAGCGATTCACTCATGTTAACTAACGGCTGCCCATCTCGTTATCCTTCCAGGCAGTCTGTGAACTGTGATGGCTTTCCCACACTCACGTAGGAACCCCATGAGGAACCTACTTTCCACCCTTTGTTCAGACGTCTGCTATGTTTCCCCCTTCCCCCTACGGGTTTTTTTCCACGGGCTGATGGCAGACCCATAGAGCTAACGCTCTTGGCCATACGGAGGGAACACCTCCCTAAAGCAAGAGTACAGGAGACAGGCAGGTCTCACCTGTGCAGTGAAGAAAGCTGGAGTCAGGGATCCCGAAGGAAGCGCGGGGCTGTTGAGGGCGATGGAACCGATGTCGGTGCTGGAGAGAACCATAGGTGGGGCGGAGATTTCCAAGCCTTTGGGTTTTTTAGCCTTTGGGGGAAGAGATGGAGATTTTGCCTTGGAGCCTGAGGAGAGGTTCAGAGGCTCAAGGGAATCTGAGTCGTGGCAACTGGACTCAAAGAAGAGGCTCCTGTGTTCTGCAGGGAGGGGTGAGGTGGGAGACAGAGACGGCGACCTGGAGGAAGATGACGATGGAGATGAAATGCTGGCACTGTTGGGTAGCATTAAGGAAGGTATTTTAGCTGAGACTGATGAGCTGAGAAAAGCAGAGGCAGCTGCTGTTTCGGAAGTGGAAGGCAACGACACCATGGGCCTCATAACTTGTTTGTCTGTTTTGTTTGTCACAAATCTTATAACAGTCCGAACTTCTTCGACTGGTGTGTTTCCTTCTGACTTCTCCTCCAGTTTTTCTGTTTTGATTGGCTTGTAAGGGTCTGGCTGGTTCTGCAGAGAGTTGATAGTGAAAGAGGAGTACAGGCCAGAGTGGATATATTCATTACGGCTTGTGCTTTTCAGTGCTGACAAGCTGTGCTTGTGCTGATCCCTGCTCTCAGAAGGCATCTTACAGTCGCTGTCCTGCAGCAAAAGGCTCTCTCTGCTGATTTCCACAGCATGTGGATCCATTTTTAAAATCTCAGGAAAGGAGACAAACTTGTACACAAATTTTTGTCCGATCACTTTCTTGATGATGTTCTGCAAATACAAAAGCAGATGCTAGAAAGATCAGCATTTTAGAGGCACTGAGTACAGCAAACATAAGGGGGCTCACCAGGGTAGGGGGGCACCGCTCCCTCCTCAAGCTGAGCAGGTCATTTCAGTGGGGTTCCTAACACTGCTCATCCTTGGCTCATTCCCACACCGCTGCTCAGCCAGGGGGACCACCCCTTGCTCCTCATGGTGCCTAACAAAACCACCATTACTAGGTGATAAAGACCTACTGGTAGGCTGTTTTCCTCCCACTTCCTCTGAAGTAGCTTGGAAATACTTTCTTTCCAGTAATTACTTTCATTCCAGAAAGCAGTACTTTCTTTTCCACAATTGTGCCGCCTTGCAGACTCGACCCATGCCACCATTTGTGTTTCACAACGAAGGCAAACTTCTCCATTTATGCCTCCCAAAACTGACAGCAACTATCCTGAGTCTGAAATACTCTTGGAATGTCTGCAAGGGACAAAAACCACTTCAGCCTCCCTGCTCCAGTCATTTACCCTCTCTTCCTGACCACGTGCAGAAGGACTGACCCAGGCTGACGGTGACTGTCCTTCTTTCAACAGTCATGAACTTTGTCTGTGACAAAGGCAATCACTTGCGTGGGCTGGAAAAGTACTTGCGTCCTGCTGTATGCCCTGTGCTAGCTCCAGGTTGCATTAGGCTCAGGACGCTCACTGGTGCAGGCAGAAGGTTTTCATCAGTCTAAACTGGCTACTGAAATTAGCTATTGGAAAAAAAAACCCAAACCTCTCAAAGGTTTGTAGAACTATTTATTTTTTTTCTTCATATTTGCCATAATAGAAGTGTCCCCTGTATGGAGAGAACTGATTCCCTTTGAAAATAAAATCTTTCATGAGGCTCTCGTTTCCAGTCCTAGCTCTCTTACGGCAAACCCGGGTATGCTGCCTGCTCTAAGACAATCTGCAGCATCCCCAAGGACACGATGTGAGCTCCTCCGCACAGGCCAGAATCTGTGCACCAGGTGCTGGCCTGGCCTAGGAAAAGGACTGGAACATTTACCACCCTAAGCCAAGTGCTGTGGAAGACAAGAAGCACTGTTTCCTGAGATTTCCATAGTGATTTTTTTCTTCTTGAAGCCCCTGGTGGAGAGTTTGTCTTTAAGTCACCTCCGAAAAATCCTTTTCAAGAAGCTTCCCTTTAGTGAAGCACATTGCTGCACCTCCAGCTGATACTCTGCAAACAGACATTTGCTTTGCTGTACATATGGGAATGTAAATATTTACAGTATTCCTAAAAATCTAATTTGTTTTTCATTCTACCACAGATTCTGAGACCAGTAGAGAAAACATTTGTTAAATTGACTGAAAATGAAAAAAAGAAAGAAAAAGGAATACAAACATCATCCCTATTTATATATGGAAGTACCTAGTGCTGGGTGCTTGCAGTGCCTGCAAGGCTCATTTTGGGAAAGAAGAGTTTGCATTTGGGTATTGGAACCTCTTCTGTCTTTCAGCTGAGCTACTGCGCTCTGTAATTCATCTATCTGAATGTCCTGGCATTTCATTCAGGCACCTTCTTGAATACAAAATTAATCCTACAAAGAGCGCTGGGATGTAGCTTTGCTTCACAGGTCAGGAGCTGTGGCACAAATGGAGAAAGTTGTTTGCCAAGTTGATAACACGGATCTGTAGCAAGGAGGAGAATTAAATTCAGCAAGCTCAGACTAAAGGCACAAAACTGCCCTTTTCCATGCTGAACTGTACACACATCTACCCACCTGGCAGATCCTGCAATGCCTATTTTTGCCCTCCAAAAGTTCAGGACATATAGTTAGCCCACAGGATCTCAGTCAGCATGTGCTTTAATTCCCATGGCTTTGGGCTTGGCCTACTTTTTTTTTTTTTTTTTTGTGCTAATTAGGTGAAATGTTGGATGGACGCACCTTTTCTGCACTCTCAATATGACATTCTTGAAAAAGGCAAAACATTAAAACTACTCACATACAAAAAGAAACACCGCAACTGGATTTTGTTTTCTTTTTTTAATATATATTTTTTAATTTAAAGTAACACCTCCCCTCTGTTCCTGGCAGCTTTGAGTTATTGTTACATCAAGCACTGGCAACTGAGACCCTACTTGGAAAATGTGACTCCCAGCAGAAAAAGATTAAATGTATTTAAGGGTGGCACTTTGACACTGGTGCAGGCTTGAAACAGGGGAACATTGCTATAAAAAGCAACCAAACGGGCTGGTGAGTTTGTACTTCCTCTGTTATTATTAAATATAGTTATATTTTAAGAAGGTCTCGCAGTGTGGTTCCTCTGACTCTGTAAGCCTGCAGCAAAGGCTCACTTAACGATGGCTGGAGATTAAAAGGATTCAAGTGCAGATCCCTCAAGCACTTTGCAGGCTTCTCTTAAATGTGGAGCCTAAGGAAATCTCCATCAGCGCGTAAGAGAAAATACAGATGCAAATTACTTAAGTGCCTCCAAAATGCCACTGACTTCTCTAAATTTTTCTGACAAATAATTGAAGTGAAGGTAAAAAGCAGCTTATTTTTACCATCACCTCAGCGATCTGTCAGAATCATTCTGCGCGGCGGACGATGGTTCAAACCACAGAAGACAGAGACAGGCATCATGACGAGCGGGGGTTCTCCACCCTCAGTTTGAAAGGGCAAAGACAGCTGCCTTACATTAAGGACGGCATTTGCAGGGAGACTAGACCACTTGCTTGGTAGCAAGACAGTAAGTATATGTGCACATTAGCCCCTTTTTTTTGTTGTTTTCATTTTCTAGGTAAATTCTCTCATGAACAGGCTTGCAATGAGTGCTAGTGGCTGCCAGCCAGGGCCGCAGGGAGCTCCGGGGCTGCGCTGCTGGGGAAGGCAACTGCTGGACCAGTGCAGCTGCTGGGGAGGAGAGCTGGGCAACCAGGCCAGGAGCAGGGGCTCCAGTCCAGCAGCTTATAAAAAAAAAAAAAAAAAAAAATTCTTATCAAGAGACAGCACGCTCTGACATCTAGGAAGAGGGCAGGGAGCTGGGAATGCCCCTCTTCTGTTGGCTTCTTGACTGTTTCTCACTTGAAGACTTCACACTTCCCCTCCCCAGTCTATAAACAGCAACTACAGCAAACGTGACCACCCCCATTGCAAAGTGCTCTGAAAGCTGCGGATACGGACTGGGTGCAGCACTGCCTGATGGCTGCTCTAGCACATCAGCCGCGTTAGGGAGCTCAGGCTTATTCACACCACATCCCTGCAGACACTCACTTTATGAGCACCTCCAAAACCAGCCTTACCCAAGTGCTCTGAATCACCGGCTGGAGGGATGGGTCTCTCCCCCTGTCCTTCTCCACAGAGCAGCTGGCGGAGCTAGATGCCAAAGGCTTGGTGGCCTGGTTCCCCCTGCAGCTTAAACCAGGCTATAATGTGGTTGGGGGTTTTTTCTTGTGTCAACTATGCATATGTACTACTGCTTTTAGAAGCCCTCCCGAAATACACAGGTGCTCTTTGTCCATCTCAACAGCACATGACCTCTGAGTTTCTTTCAATTTTTTTTCTTCCCTCCCAGAAGTTTTCCTGTGCATCAGTGCAACTCAGACTTCGTTTCTTCTATCATGTGTTTGTGTTTTATTTTCATCGGCTCTGACTCTTACTCCCTGTTTGAGCCATTTAGAGCTAAGGTGTAACTACACTACCAGTGTAACACAAGGATTTTGGTGGTTTGGCTCAAACCTGTTATCTAGCAAGTTTGCTGGCTGCAGGAGCCACTCGGGAGACTGAGCTGGGAAATGGGACCCAGTTCCTAGTTGAACTTCAGACTAATGAGGAGCCTCAGGGGCAGGAAGACCAGATTGAGAATTTTATTACCTCCTCCCAGGAAGTGACCTATAATCAGGGTGCCCGAGATCTCAAAATTTATGGCAGAACAGGACAAACTTGTCTGTAGGTATGAAACATCTCTGCTTGGGAAAGAAGGAGAAGGACCAGAGCTGTAGCTGCTGCACTTAACTCCCAGTTGGATGTGTTGCAAGTTCCCTGGCTCCAAGAGTACCGAGGGATGGAACACGTGTATGGACACTTAGGCTATGAATTCCTCACAGGACTCTACGAGGAGGGAGCTGGGCTGCCTCCAGCTATTGGGAACCCTACCCAGAGAGAAGGCTGCTCACACTCCAATGTCTGAAGTATGTAAGCTGGCAGGAGCTACCTGTGGCTGCATAGTTTGCTCCAAAACACAGGGCGTGCGTCCACATCAGCATGTGCCGGCAGGCAGATTCTGTTAACATCATACTTTATGCACTTACGCTTATTATACTATGTGCACAGAAACCAGATTTTGTGAAGTTTTTGATGGAGGCACAGGTGCTACTAGATTGTGCACCTGTGGAAGTGCAAGGCTCTCATTTAGCTGGATTTCAGTCTTTCTTCACCCACCTCCATCTGGAAGGCAAAGGCCATTCCTCTGGCTGGAACTTTTGGCCAAGTTCTCTGCTCTCTCTGCTGCAGTTCACCAGGCATCCATTTCCTCTCACATCAAACATCCACTATTTGTCACTCCTTCTGGGGGGATTCTTGGGTTTTCTCCTCTACCCATCACCTCTTACTGAGTATCAAATTCTCTACTCCCATCTTTTCATAAGGACAGCACTCAATAACCACTTTTATGCCATTTCAGACAAGCACTTTCCTGACTTCCACACATCACTCTTGAAAGAAGCTCATTCCCATTCTCTATAAAGCTATTTTCTAATGCTCTTTCAAATATTTCCTTGTAACATCTCTTACCTGTACCACTACAAAATGTATAGCTGGTACTCCAGCATCATCAGACCGCTATTATTTCATTGTAATATTCTTTTTCCCCTGAGGTAACTCAAGAGAAGACCTTCCTAAAAGTAAAATAATAGCTTCCATTATCACTTTATATCCTGAAGTTCTGTAAGCAGACCAAGCAAGGGACCCGCTTCCCAAAACAATTCTTCCATGCTGCCACCCACACTTGGGCATTAAAAATAGGAACGAGTAACCAGGCTACCGGGTCTGACCTGTTATGGGAGGGGAGGGAATGCCATGGGCACCTCTGAATCCTAAGAGCACCTGAGCAGCTCTGTCCCCTGCACTGCAATAAGCACAAAGAAGCCCGTATTATTTATGTACTATACATCATCCTGCCAACCCATCTAAACAAGCAGGCAGCCATTAACTGAAACTAAAATGATTTATTCTGTCTTTAGAAGACAGATTGAATAGCACTCACTGAGTAAAGCCTGAGGCCACCTACCATTCAGAGAGGATGCAAAAATACTGAATAGCTGCTCATCGCAACAGTATGTGACCGTGTAATTAAAGATGCAGCATAACTCATGCAAACATTAAGGTTTCCCAGGGAACTGTGATTCTTGCACTTCCTAGCTTCTGAGGGCTTGACT